TGTGGTAACCGTAGTATAAGCGGAATAATTGACTCCGGGCCGTTGAATTATTAGAAAAATAATGCACACCCGATGTGTAACGTCCTCGGGTGGGCATTATTTTTCGAATAATTCAACGGCCCGTCGTCAATTATTCCTTACTTATAAATGATATTTTATTTTAAGAAATATTTTATATAGTTCTATATAAATTATATAGTTATGCTGTGAAATATTAAGTTTTAAATATTTACGTAAATATTAAGTTATACAACATTGATATTATTAATAAATGTAAAATATTTACAGTACAATAGACAGATAGATGTATGTATATAATTTTAACATTTTAAAAAATGTAAAAAAAAATATTCTGGTGCACTGTCAAGGATCATTAAATGTTAACTTAATTTGTATGTATCCTAATGATTCTGAAAACATATGGGTCAGTGATTCTGTGCTGCTTGATCTTTAATTAATTGTCTTTCTTTTTTTGTAACGAATGATATTTTATTTAAAGAAATATTATATTTTAAAATGATATATCTTTTATGTGTATATATCATAGTTACCATAGTTCATGACTATAAACACAAGTTTAGTTTCTCTGAGGGAAGAGTGCATGGACAGAAAGCTTTTCTTTGTTTCAAGATTGAGTGAACTCTCTGTGATCACTTGTCTTTGTGCTTGTTTTAGGAAAAAGCCCTTACCTGATGTTCACAAACAGGCACGAGATCAGACGCATTGACCTGGTGAAGAGGGACTACACACAGGTGGTTCCTACTCAGAAGAACGCAGTGGCCATTGATATCGACGTTGTTGCCAACCGCATGTACTGGTGTGACCGTTTCCAGCACAAAATATACAGGTGACCTCATCTTGACCTTTTGGTTATTATGCTGTAAATATGGAAGCGGTTTAGCTGAGCACTTAAAAGGAGAGCCAGGACTCATTTAACAGCAAAGTGCTGCTTCACATGCTTGTGATGTGTTAATTATTTTAAACTCAGGAGATATGACTCAATTTATTTACATATCCCTCCCTCACACACTCAGACCGTTACTCTCAAGATAACACTCTCTCTAGTGAAATTAATTAAAATGAGATGCAGAGAGGCAGAAAAACAGCACTTACGAAACATTTTAATTGCCATATTACTGAAACCGAGATTATGTAGGTGTTCCATTCAGAAGTGATCATGCTTATGTTTCTTGGGAATATGTACTGTATGTATATACACACTACTGCTCAAACGTTTGAGGTAGAGGTCTACACGGGTCCAAAAGTTCGTACCCGAACCCGAAGAGACCCGTAAATGTGCTACACTGAACCGACCCGGTCCCGTTTTTTATTTTGAAAGTTGGACCCGGGCCCGTGCAGAACCGAGAAATGTCAAAAATGTACTACCCGGACCCGACGCGGACCGTCAATTATTTGAAAGATGGACCCGAACCCGGCCGGGAAGACACAGACCCGACTGGACCCGATCGGCACATATTCCACAGCAAATTGCTATTAACAAGTCGATAAACAAGTTGCGAAATTTAAACTTTTTGTCTTACCTAATGTAAGAAGCCTTCTCCCTTGTACCGGACTGTGATGCACACAATCCTCCTTGCCAAGAAAGTTCTATCCGTGTTATTGACTCTCTTGCCAATTGAAATGCGTAATCCACTCATTATTCCAGTTTCAAAAGTCCACTTGCTGTCACGGTGACGGATGACAAATGCGACTTTGCAGTTTTGCATTTTTTGTATCTTGAGTCAACTTGCATAATAATTTAGACTGTTTGCCCATTTGGATTATAATAACGATTGCTCGTCCAGTGCCATGGCTGCTGACGTTAGCTTTACTTATTTGCTATCATCTCTGTGCTCTCTGAGCCGAGTCTGAGCAAAAATTTTAGATATAACAACAAGACGGTTCATTCATAATATTATTTAAAAAATAATCAATAATAACTCGCATCACTCATGAAGGTATCCATTATCACCGTGCGTGTGCATTAACTCCGCCCACCCTGCTTCTGATGACGTCACTTGTGTTTTTTTGTTTTTTTTTCCACCTTATTTCAAATTACCGACTAACACTTTTCTCATCCTAATTTTACAAGTTGAAAGTTACAAAACAACACACGCACAGCGCTGACTGACTCTGATAACGGCCGGGTGTTCTCCGAGTCCGATCGACTCGGGTATTACACACAATGTTAAACAGACCCGGGACCCGAAGTAATAGATTGGGACCCGGGTCCTCGGGTCTCGGGTCCTCCGTGTAGACCTCTAGTTTGAGGTCAGTAAGATATTTTTATTTTTTTTGAAAGAAGTCTCATGCATTTATTTGATTATTGTGAAACATTATTACAATTTAAAATGGACAGTTTTATATTTTAATATATTTTAAAATGTAATTTAATTCCTGTGATCAAAGCTGAATTTTCAGCATCATTACTCCAGTCTTGATGAGCCTTCAGAAATCATTCTAATATGCTGATTTGCTGCTCAAAAAACATTTCTTATTACCAGGTTTTGCTGCTTATTTGTGTGATTGTGTGTAAACTGTGATCAAACGTTCAAAAGAACAGCATTTATTTGAAATAGAAATCTTTTGTACATTATAAACGTCTTATCTGGCACTTTGGATAAATTGGATGCATCATTTGTGAACAAAAGTATTAATTTCTTCAAAAAAAACTAAAAAAAAACTTGCAGACAACTCATGGTAATGTACAAATTCTTGCAAAACTCCCTGAAACTGATCAATTGTTGCAAAAAAAATAAAATAAAATAAAAACTGACAAAAACTATAAACATAAACAAATGTAACATGATGCACTTTTAATGAATGGAACATCAGTAACTACATGGGTTAAGGTAAGGTTTAGGGGTAGGTTCAGGGTTAACTAAATACCTAGTTATTACCCAGTTATTGTAATCACTATAATAAGTACATAGTATGTACACACGAAACATGAATGTAAAATAAAGTGCTACCATTATTTTTGTCAATTAATTTGTCTGTTATTTGTGAATTAAAGGGGTCATATGATGCGATTTCAAATTTTCCTTTCTCTGGAGTGTTACAAGCTCTTGGTGCATAAAGAAGATCTGTAAAGTTGCAAAGACTAAAGTCTCAAATCCAAAGAGATATTCTTTATAAAATTTAAGAGGAGAAAAAAAACTAAAAACTGCGGTTCAGGCGATCTCGGACCGATTGTTTTGGCCCGGATCCGTGTGCGATTGCCGTGTTCACATATGCCCAAACGAACCGAGCTAAGAGGGAAACGCGCCAGGTTTCAAAACAACAGGCCAGGTGTGAAAGCACCCTAAGTCATTATAATCCGTAATTATTTCCCCACTGGATGCAACAAATGCCTCGTTTATAATGGGTTTTAATGTTTTTGTCTCGTCACTCCGGTCGGACAGGGCATCACAATATGGTAAGGGGCGTAACATTTCCGTCACACACTTGAGGTATTCGGCCACTATGATGCTGACAAATAATGTTGACTCCCAGCCAGACTGAATTTTTTTTTTTATATTTAAAGAATTTGCCACTGATGATTCAAACGCGAGTTTTGAGCAGTGTAGAGTAGCACTTGTTGTTTGTCATTTCTCCGAATGCAACGCAACGCGTAAAACGACAGTATAAGTCATTATAATCTGTAATTATGTCCCCACTGGATGCAACAAATGCCTCGTTTACAATGGGTTTTAATGTTTTTGTCTCGTCGCTCCGGCCGGACAGGGCATCACAGTATGGTGAGGGGCGTAACATTTCCGTCTCACGCTTGAGGTATTCGGCCAATCATAACGCACCGGATAGCTTTCCAATCACAGCACACCTCGCTTTTCAGACTGATGAGCTTTGTAAAAATCGACGCGTTTCAGAAAGGCGGGGCATAGAGGAGAAACAATAATGTACAGTATGTGGAAAATAATGTGTTTTTTGAACCTTAAACCGCATAAACACATTTCATTACACCAAATACACCAAATAATGTTTTTTTTAGCAACATCATATGACCCCTTTAAATGCGTGTCTGCTTATAAAACACTTTTGTAAAACTCCATTATCAAAAAAAAAAAAAGGATTTTTAGCATAATGACAGCAGCAATGATAAAAACAGCAAAATACCATGGGGTTAAAATTTTTATTAAAAAGTTAATGATAGTAAGACTTTTATAATATCACCAATTGTGAGAGTGAAACGTCCATCATTTGAACCCTTTGAAAATGTTTGTAACGACCCTACAATGCTTATTCTGCCTTCAAAGTGCCCTGTGTAGACAGTAGATCAAACGCACTGTGTAATGTAATACAGGAAAGGTTTTGACTCTTACCATATGAAGGTCTGGCCCTGTTACAAATTCATTTAAAACTCGCAAAGAACCTCTTGACTCATTTTTCCACGGTCCATCTCCCTTTCCTCCTGATTGCACATTCCATGTGATCTCGCTAATTGGGGACATTCACTTTCCTAATAATAGATACCTCTGCGGCTGCTCAAAATGATGTGCTATCTTATTAAATGGCAGTAGTCTGCTCCTGCCCTCTCTCTCTGCCTATCGTCTGTCTCTTTTGGACTTATAAGTGAGGATAAAGTTCAAAGTCATTAGATGTAACTGCTCCGCTGTGAGCTTGAACTAGTTTGGGATGATATTGAAGCTGATAATAGAAGGCTGAGGGGTGAGTTGAGGCCCTACAGGGCCATTCATTCATTTGGACACCTGTGGCACTCATGAACACTTCAGATCATGTGAAGATCTGTAAAGAGAAGCACTGAGTATTAGAAAGGGATTTTAGTTAAAACTGTCCAAAATCACAACATAAATGATGTTTAATAAAACAGAGAAATAGAAAGCATGCTTCTGACAAAAGGATTACGTTAGTAACTGACCAGAGGTTTATTGCATACTGCACATTATATAGGTATTCTATGTTTATTACATGTAAAATATGTGAAACAATATGCAAAATACAACAATAAACTTTTTCCAAAAGTAGTATGCTATTTTAGTGGGCCTTCCATTGACATATTTTTTGTGAATTTCAGGATATCACAAAAAAAAATGGTGTTTGGAAACTCCAAAATGCAAATAAAAAACATTTTAAAGCATAAAAAGCAGTTACTGACATTCCATTCATTGGGGTCAGTAAGATTTTTTTTTTTTTTAAAGAAAATAATACTTTTATTCAGAAATGGTGCATTAAATTGATCAAAAGTGGCAGTAAAAATGTTTATAATGTTACAAACATATGCTGTTCTTTTAAACTTTCTATTAATCAAGGAATCTGGGAAAAATGTATCACAGTTTCCACAAAAAATATTAAGCAGCAAAGGTTTTCAACATGGATAATAATAAAACATTTTCTTGAGCAGCAAACCAGTATATTAGAATGATTTCTGAAAGATCATGTGACACTGAAGACTGGAGTAATGATGCTGAAAATTCAGCTTTGCATCACAGGAATAAATAATATTTAAAAATATAGAAAATAGAAAAAAAAATAGAAAACAGTTATTTGAATTTATAATAATATTTTACAATATTATTATTTTACTGTATTTTTTGATCAAATAAATGCATCTTCGGTGAGCATAAGAGACTTCTTTCAAAAACATTGAAAACTATTTTACTGACAACAATTTTTGAATGGTAGTATTTGTATGTGAATTTTGGGATATTGCAAAAAAATGCTTGATGGAAATGACAACCAAGATGCAAATATTGCATTAAAAACACGTACAGTTGTGGACATTACATTCACTGACAGTATTGTTGGCTGTTACAGGTTTTAGGTGGGCAGAGGATTTTTCCTCATTCTATCACTATGTATAAAACAATCACAACTGAAGTCATGTGATTTGACTGTTCGACTCAGCGTCTAGTAGCAGAACCTCTAATTGTCTGCATGTCTCTGAAGTGCTTACATCCACGAGGCGAGCGACCCGTCTCGACACGTTACTCTGATCGACTCCGATCTGCATTCCCCTGAGGGTCTGGCACTGGACTGGGTCCAACACAACCTCTACTGGACCGACTCAGGTGACAGAACCATCTCCGTGGCTTCAGTGGATGGCAGCAGGAGACGCGTGCTGATCAGCACCGATCTGAGCGAACCACGGGCCATCGCTGTGGATCCAGAGAGAGGGTGAGCAGCTATCAGACACATCACTGCCATCCAAATGACAAAACCACAAAAGGCCAGACTGCCTTTAAAGGTCACTGAGATGATAAGAGAAGCTTTCAGTGACATGCACATGGAGGCTGTGGAGTCTTAGAGAGGAAATGTTTATTGAATTCTGTTAATCCATAGAGATAACCTTACCGCCACATTAATAGTTTCAAACATGCTGTTGTTTGCTTACAATAGTGAATGCCACAAAATTGTCCTTTTGTTAATGGACAAACTTATTTTAATAAGTCATTTAGGGCTGCTCTGGTCTTGAGATAGCCTTGACTTTTGTCATTGTCAAATAAGAGTCTTGACAGTAAAAAAGAGAAAAATCCTTTACACATCTTTTACTTTTGAAAACCTTTTATACCATTTTCGAGAAAAGTTAAATTTTTTTTTAAATGTGATGTGCAACCATCAAGTGAAAGGTCATAACATATTTCCTGATACACATGTGTGTACACATCTTAATGATTAGTTTCAAAAATATTTTAAACACATTTTCAAGATTTTTTTTTTTTTTTTTTGCAAATATCATGAATTATTCATTTATAAATATCATTACATTTTTGGAGAGTCAAACCCTATTACACACAGTGTTCTTATTAACTAAAAGGAGAACTAAAACCATACAAAAATATTTTTGTTCATTGAAATAAATCTGAAATACAATAATATATAAATATTAGATTGATAGAGGCTTATTGAAACGTATTAAAAATTAGAAATGTTGCCTTGGCAACTAACTGAAATAAAATGTTTTTTAAAGTAAATTACTAAAACTGGAATAAAAAAAAATGAATTAAAACTAAATAGAAATATAAAACTGAATATAAAATAAAAAGGACAAAAGCACATAACAAATTTGCTAAAACGTATAACAAACAAATAAAAAACATCAATATTCAGGTTTTGTGTTACATGGAGGTTTACATCCATATACAGGTGCATCTCAATAAATTAGAATGTCGTGGAAAAGTTCATTTATTTCAGTAATTCAACTCAAATTGTGAAACTCATGTATTAAATAAATTCAATGCACACAGACTGAAGTAGTTTAAGTCTTTGGTTCTTTTAATTGTGATGATTTTGGCTCACATTTAACAAAAACCAATAAAATAAAACCAATAAAAAAAACATTTTTAGTGAATTGTTGGCCTTCTGGAAAGTATGTTCATTTACTGTACATGTACTCAATACATGGTAGGGGCTCCTTTTGCTTTAATTACCGCCTCAATTCGGCGTGGCATGGAGGTGATCAGTTTGTGGCACTGCTGAGGTGGTATGGAAGCCCAGGTTTCTTTGACAGCGGCCTTCAGCTCATCTGCATTTTTTGATCTCTTGTTTCTCATTCTCCTTTTGACAATACCCCATAGATTCTCTATGGGGTTCAGGTCTGGTGAGTTTGCTGGCCAGTCAAGCACACCAACACCATGGTCATTTAACCAACTTTTGATGCTTTTGGCAGTGTGGGCAGGTGCCAAATCCTGCTGGAAAATGAAATCAGCATCTTCAAAAAGCTGGTCAGCAGAAGGAAGCATGAAGTGCTCCAAAATGTCTTGGTAAACGGGTGCAGTGACGTTGGTTTTCAAAAAACACAATGGACCAACACCAGCAGATGACATTGCACCCCAAATCATCACAGACTGTGGAAACTTAACACTGGACTTCAAGCAACTTGGGCTATGAGCTTCTCCACCCTTCCTCCAGACTCTAGGACCTTGGTTTCCAAATGAAATACAAAACTTGCTCTCATCTGAAAAGAGGACTTTGGACCACTGGGCAACAGTCCAGTTCTTCTTCTCCTTAGCCCAGGTAAGACGCCTCTGACGTTGTCTGTGGTTCAGGAGTAGCTTAACAAGAGGAATACGACAACTGTAGCCAAATTCCTTGACACGTCTGTGTGTGGTGGCTCTTGATGCCTTGACCCCAGCCTCAGTCCATTCCTTGTGAAGTTCACTCAAATTCTTGAATCGATTTTGCTTGACAATCCTCATAAGGCTGCGGTTCTCTCGGTTGGTTGTGCATCTTTTTCTTCCACACTTTTTCCTTCCACTCAACTTTCTGTTAACATGCTTGGATACAGCACTCTGTGAACAGCCAGCTTCTTTGACAATGAATGTTTGTGGCTTACCCTCCTTGTGAAGGGTGTCAATGATTGTCTTCTGGACAACTGTCAGATCAGCAGTCTTCCCCATGATTGTATAGCCTAGTGAACCAAACTGAGAGACCATTTTGAAGGCTCAGGAAACCTTTGCAGGTGTTTTGAGTTGATTAGCTGATTGGCATGTCACCATATTCTAATTAGTTGAGATAGTGAATTGGTGGGTTTTTGTTAAATGTGAACCAAAATCATCACAATTAAAAGAACCAAAGACTTAAACTACTTCAATCTGTGTGCATTGAATTTATTTAATACACAAGTTTCACAATTTGAGTTGAATTACTGAAATAAAGGAACTTTTCCACGACATTCTAATTTATTGAGATGCACCTATATATGCACTATATTCAAATGCACTAATTCCCAGCCTCAACCCATTCAGAAGTACCAGTACTTACATAGATACCTATACATAGTAGCCAGAAAGAAATGCTAATTTTAAAGAAAAACGTCAGACGTACTTACCAATTCACTATCTCAACAAATTAGAATACTTCATAAGACCAATAAAAAAACATTTTTAGTGAATTGTTGGCCTTCTGGAAAGTATGTTCATTTACTGTATATGTACTCAATACTTGGTAGGGGCTCCTTTTGCTTTAATTACTGCCTCAATTCGGCGTGGCATGGAGGTGATCAGTTTGTGGCACTGCTGAGGTGGTATGGAAGCCCAGGTTTCTTTGACAGTGGCCTTCAGCTCATCTGCATTTTTTGGTCTCTTGTTTCTCATTTTTCTCTTGACAATACCCCATAGATTCTCTATGGGGTTCAGGTCTGGTGAGTTTGCTGGCCAGTCAAGCACACCAACACCATGGTCATTTAACCAACTTTTGGTGCTTTTGGCAGTGTGGGCAGGTGCCAAATCCTGCTGGAAAATGAAATCAGCATTTTCAAAAAGCTGGTCAGCAGAAGGAAGCATGAAGTGCTCCACAATTTCTTGGTAAACGGGTGCAGTGATGTTGGTTTTCAAAAAACACAATGGACCAACACCAGCAGATGACATTGCACCCCAAATCAGTGGAAACTGTGGAAACTTAACACTGGACTTCAAGCAACTTGGGCTATGAGCTTCTCCACCCTTCCTCCGACCTTGGTTTCCTTGGTTTCCAAATGAAATACAAAACTTGCTCTCATCTGAAAAGAGAACTTTGGACCACTGGGCAACAGTCCAGTTCTTCTTCTCCTTAGCCCAGGTAAGATGCCTCTGATGTTGTCTGTGGTTCAGGAGTGGCTTAACAAGAGGAATATGACAACTGTAGCCAAATTCCTTGACACGTCTGTGTGTGGTGGCTCTTGATGCCTTGACCCCAGCCTCAGTCCATTCCTTGTGAAGTTCACTCAAATTCTTGAATCGATTTTGCTTGACAATCCTCATAAGTTTGCGGTTCTCTCGGTTGGTTGTGCATTTTTTTCTTCTTTTTCCTTCCACTCAACTTTCTGTTAACATGCTTGGATACAGCTCTCTGTGAACAGCCAGCTTCTTTGACAATTAATGTTTGTGGCTTACCCTCCTTGTGAAGGGTGTTGATGATTGTCTTCTGGACAACTGTCAGATCAGCAGTCTTCCCCATGATTGTGTAGCCTAGTGAACCAAACTGAGAGACCATTTTGAAGGCTCAGGAAACCTTTGCAGGTGTTTTGAGTTGATTAGCTGATTGGCATGTCACCATATTCTAATTTGTTGAGATAGTGAATTGGTGGGTTTTTGTTAAATGTGAGCCAAAATCATCACAATTAAAAGAACCAAAGACTTAAACTACTTCAGTCTGTGTGCATTGAATTTATTTAATACACGAGTTTCACAATTTGAGTTGAATTACTGAAATAAATGAACTTTTCCACGACATTCTAATTTATTGAGATGCACCTGTAAATAAAATATTTGATCTTTTTTAGTAAGTGTTTTATTTGGTTATTTTATTTTTATTTTATTTTTTAGACTTATTTTTATTTCTTTGTATGTTTTAGTTTGTTATGATTTAATTACTCACAATACCAGTTTGTGGAACTCTGTTTTAGATCATTAGTATGTATTATGTTCTGGTTCCCCAGATTAGGTTTACTGATGTCAGTATCAAATATCAAACCTTTACAAGCCAATTTCAAGAAAGAATTCATTTCCATAAGCCGTAACATATCACTATGTACTGTAAGCATCCATGGTATGTCCAGATGAAGTAAACTTTGTACAATTGCACCTGTATGTATATATATATATATATATATATTGGTGAATGCTTTGTTTTCACAGGTTCATGTATTGGTCTGACTGGGGCATCAGGGCCAGGATTGAGAAGGCTGGCATGAACGGTGTAGATCGACAGGTGTTGGTGTCTGAGGACATTGAGTGGCCCAATGGAATCACACTCGGTAGGAATTATTATGGTTATTCCCTTCTGTTATTGGTGCTCTATGGAAAGAGGAAGATGAATGTTATTGAGATGTCTTGTGTCTAAAACGGTTGAGCTTTATGCACTCTAAATGAATCAGTAATTGTTTGACAGTAGCGTTGTGTCTCTGAATGCAGATGTGGTTGGTAAGCGCTTGTACTGGGTGGACTCAAAACTGCACCTGATCTGCAGCGTGGATTTAAACGGGGCCCATCGCAGAGTCATCCTGTCCTCCAGAGGGAGACTCGGCCATCCGTATGCCCTCGCTGTGTTTGAGGTGAGTGAGTCTCCTAAATACCTGTGTGTCTCAGTTTCTTCTATTTCTTTATAAACTATGTGTGTGTGTGTTTATATGCATGTGGTTAATACCAGCTAGTATGTGTTTGTGTGTATTTATCAGTCCATTACAGTGAATTTAACCACTGCCCAAGGCTGTCCAGCACTTAATAATAACTCCCACTCACACTGCTGAGAAGCCCTGGTCATATCGCTCACACACAGGCAGGGCCGACTGGAGTGTATGTTAATGAGTGTGTGTGTGTGTGTGTGTGTGTTTGTGCGTGCGTGTGTGTGCGCGCACGTGTGTGTGTGGTCAGTATCTTACAGCCGAGTTAGCATTAAAGCCTTTCTTATTTTCTCTTTATGATTTATTAATATAGCAGCATTTTCAAAGCTGCAGGACTCTGGCCAGTGATATAGTCCAGATCTATTTTTTTTCCCTTCATAAATCAAAAGCTAAATCAAGCATATCAAGATCAGATCAACTGACAAGATGCGCGTTAAATATCGCATGCGATTTATCGTGCAGCCCTAATTTTTAGTCATGCTCAGAGCCAAATCTTAACCATAAAACAACTAGAATTTTTTTTAAATATTGATTTTTCAATAGCCAATGGCAATATCAGGAAAGCAGATATAATGCAGACATTTAATTTAATGAAAGCAAATGAGAGATTTATGCAATTTTTACTGGTGGTTGAGCTTTCTAATGGATTGTGCTGATTTACACTACCATTCAAATGTTTGGTGTCAGTAAGATTTTGTTTAAAGTCTCTTGTTCACTAAGGCAAAAATTGTGAAATATTATTACAGTATTATCGTGATCAAAGCTGAATTTTCAGCATCATTACTCCAGTCTTCAGTGTCACATGATCCTTCAGAAATCATTCTAATATGCTGATTTGCTGCTCAAGAAACATGTCTTATTTTTATCAATGTTGAAAACAGTTGTGCTGATTCATATTTTTGTCTAAACTGTAATATTTTTTTTTCACGATTCTTTGTTTTATAAATGTCAAAAGAATAACATTTATTTGAAATATTCGTCTTGAAAAGTCCACACTTACTGTCACTTTTGATTGATTTAGTTTATTTAGGGAATTAAAAAATTTTGGATTTTGGAAGTTTGGAACTGGTGCCAGAGGGACTGACCAATACTGATCATCTCAAAATGTCCAAATATTGTCTGATTGAATAATATGATGATATATCAGTCTATTCATATTACATATATTACATGATGTCAAACAAAGATGTCCATTAATCCACTGTTAATTTAATCAGCAGGCATGCTTATTGGGTACAATTGGTCTCAAAATAGACAAATATCAGCAATATAGTTGCCCTGGGTGATATATTATCTATCATTAAAACATCTATAGAAATGCCATGTTTAGGTGAGTGGCTGTTATGGGCTATGGAAATTGATTGAAGATGTCTCTGAAGATACTTTAAATGTAAAACTGAAACATGCTCAGAATTATTAATGTTCAACATCCTACTTCAGTGATGTATTGTATTTTATGTGGGACAATTCCCTTTATTGTTTTGCTGCTTAAGCTCAGCGGTCTCCATGGTAACGTAGGGACGGGTCCTGGGCAGAGTTATGATAGGCAGAAAGAAGATTATAGTATTTTCACACAAGCCTGGCTCAAGTAGTGGTGAGCACACTAATCTAAGATTGACTTCCTCTCACAGCAGAGCAGGGCTGAATGCTGAAGAGCTGTAGTCTTACACACCTACACATCAGCCGCAGAATTAAAGGTCTTGCTGGACAGAGACTCTTGCTGTGGATTTCCCCCCCAGTAACAGAGTTTCCACTACAGAAAACAATGTGGGACTTTTTAATATGGAACTTTTTCTTAGCAGCTTAATTGCTTGTGTGAGACTAGGCAGTTATTGTTTTATGCAGGATGCTCTTTATTGAATTGATTTTCATTGTTTCAATCAAACTTCAATATCTATGATGCAAGCAGATGAAGAGATGCTTTGCCTGGTTTGTCTTCATTTTCTGAGTGATGTTTGCTGACTGTATGTGTGTCTACATCACTATATTTTAACAAACTCATTACCTGAAATATCAAATGTTAGCATCCTAAATATGACCCCCACCATTGTGCTATAGTATAATATTTCAATGTGTTTTAAAGAGAGGAGAACTTTTAAGGCAATCAGATTTTCCCTATTAGCCATTTAGCAATGCCCTAAAACCACCTATAACACCTTAGCAAAAATGTATAAACCACCTAGGATGTGTTAGCAACCACCTAGCAATGCCCTAGAAACCACACAGACCACTGAACACTTCACTGCGCCGCTTGCTTGCTGCTCACTCACTTAACATGTGATTGACATGTGACGTTTTGTGACCATTCAAAAGAATGAAATTAGCTGTGTTGTACTTAAATACATAAATTACAGTCGTAAACATTGCTGCCTAGCAACACCCTAGCAGCTGTGCAGAATACCATAGCAATACTCCAAAAACCCCAAGAACACTCTAACAATCACTCAGGACACCCTAGGAATGCACTAGAAACCAGTGAGGACACCCTATCAGCTACTTACCAACACCCTAAAATCTCTCCAGCAACCACTGAAAACACCCTAGCTATCAACTAGAAATGCCCTAAAACCACCCACAGCACCTTAACGCCATAGCAATCAAAACAGGACGCCCTACATTCTAAAAGCAGCTTAATTGCTTGTGTGAGACTAGGCAGTTATTGTTTTATGCAGGATGCTCTTTATTGAATTGATTTTCATTGTTTCAATCAAACTTCAATATCTATGATGCAAGCAGATGAAGAGATGCTTTGCCTGGTTTGTCTTCATTTTCTGAGTGATGTTTGCTGACTGTATGTGTGTCTACATCACTATATTTTCCACCTAGCATCCACCTAGCATTGATCAAGGAACTACATAGAACAGGGGTGGCTAACGTTGGTCCTGGAGAGACACAGTCCTGCAGAGTTCAGCTCCAAACCTAATCAAACACAATTGAACAAGCTAATCAAGGTCTAAGGGTTACTAGAAAGGTACAGGGAGGTGAGTTTTAATCAAGGTTGGAGCAAAACTCAGCAGGACTGTGGTTGGCCACCCCTGACCTAGAACATCCCAGGACACCCTAGCAATCACTCAGCAATACTCTAAATCAGGCATGGGCAAACTCGGTCCTGGCGGGCCACAGAGTTTAGCTCCAACCCTGATCAAACACCTGAACAAGCTAATCAATGTCTTCAGGATTACTAGAAGACTACAGGCAGGTGAGTTTTATCAGTGTTGGAGCTAAACTCTGCAGGACAGTGGCCCTCCAGGACCGAGTTTGCCCATGCCTGCTCTAAACCTTCCAATAACACTTTAGCAGCCACCTACAACACCCTAGCAACCACCTAGCCATTCAATAAAACAACCCAGAACACCTTAGTAACGCCATGGAAACCATCTAAGACACCTTAGTGACAACACAGAACAACACTCTAAACCTCCAATAATAGTATAGAACCCATCTAGCAATCCTCTAGCAACCCCCTACAGCACCCTATAGCTATCATCTAGAAATGCCCTAAAACCACTCAAAATACCCTAGCAATGCCTTAGAATCCACCCTAGCACCTTAGCAACACCTTAGAAACCAACTAAGAACACCCTAGCCACAGTTTCACCTAGAAATGCCCTAAAACCACATAGAACACCCTAACAACACAATAGAAACCACCTAAGACACCCTAGCAACCACCTAGAATATCTTAGCTACAGTACCACCTAAAAAATGCCCTAAAACTGCCCAGAACACCTTAGCAACCACCTAGAACACCACAGCTATGGCGCTTTTCCACTGCGTGGTACGACTCGGCTCGGCACGGCTCAGTACGGTACGGCACTGCACTGCACGGCTCGGCTCGGTTTGCGTTTCCACTGCAGTTCAGTACCGCTTTAGAGTGGGCGGGATTATTCACATGTCGTTATAGTTGTGCCGCCTCTATTGCCGCGACTCCTGAAAAACTTTTTAATTCCGCGTCGCCCCATCAAGCTCTCGCTGGATCCGCTCCTCTGCTATCAACGAGAGGAACGTCTGTACTTCCTCAACAGACAACGAAACAGCCACTTTTTGGTTGTTAAAAAAGGTGAGCTTGTTCAAAACAGTTGCGTTTGATCCTTCGCTGGCTGTGCTGAATTAAATCTAGCGGTTCTGTTGTGTTTGTGTCGCAGTGACGCAGGTAGTGACGATTCTCTCCGGCCAATCCGTGATCAGCAGAGTTTACACGTCATGTTTTGGTTACAGTACGGTTCACTTGGAACCTCAACAGAGGTGGTACTAAAAAAAAGTACCAGGTACCAGGTACTGTACCCAGTGGAAACCCCCCCAAAAGTGAACCGTACCGAGCCGTACCGTGCCGTACCATGCAGTGGAAAAGCGCCACTAGAGTACCACCTAAAACCACCCAGAACACCTTGCAACACCATAGAAACCACCTAAGACACCCTAGCAACCACCTAGCAGATTTCTTTTCTTAAGGACATGTGAAAATCTTGTGTTGACTGTTGTGTGTCTCTTAGGATCGCGTGTACTGGACAGACCGTGAGAAGGAGGCCGTCTACAGCGCAAACAGACTCACAGGACAAGATGTGACCAGTCTTGCCGAGCACCTCAATGACCCTCATGATATAGTGGTTTTTCACGAGCTGAGCCAGCCTGCAGGTGTGTGGACTTCAACTCAGCTATTTCTATTTATTTGAAGTCCCTTTTTGACATTTTGACTAATAGCGTATGACATAACGTTTTTAATCCACCTTATGAAATCCACTATCAGATTTGTTCCTTTTGTAATCCATCACACCTGGCATTTCTGTTTTAATCGGCATCTAAGTCATTTTGACTTAACAATCTGGTACCGAAGACAATAAGTGTCAACAGCTTACAGTTAAATATTAATCATAGTTTAAGGCTCCACAGACTGAAGATGAAGTGTATTTGACCCATGTGGCTCACAGAATGAGAACACATCTCCACTGATGGATGAGGAGCTCAGCCCTGACACACGCCAATGTGTACTCGGTAAGCTCATCACATTGTACCTAACGCCGTGTCCTGACCAGGCAGGACACAAATTAATCCACGTAACCAATTTTTTTTTTTTTTACATCAAAGAAGATATTTGAAGAATGCTGGTAAAGACACTGTTGCTGGTAGCCATTAACTTCCATAATAGTTTTTTTTTCCATACTATGGAAGTCAGTGGCTACTGGCAACTTGTTTTTATTTCCCCATGACTAACCTCTCTCCCATCATTGTACCACCAGTGCAAAATGAGACTGGCGTCACACCTACTGCCCCCATCAACTTCACCATGGAGACAGGGGCTGGCCGGGCACCAGAGTCCCCTGCAGCAATGACATCTCAGTCCGACAGTATGGCTGAAACCACTCTCTCATCACTCCTCACCTCCAGTCTAGAGGAACCGGCCGTCTCCTCTAATACTACAGCAGAGCACAGTCCTACACAAGCGTCCAGCACCACACCAGACAGCCTGAGCAACCTGTCTCATCACTGTAAGTGTGGGTCTGTGTGCTTTCATGCACAGGAGGAACCTCAGTGAAGCCTTTGCTAAGCCATCCTAGTTACTGTTGACGAGCTTACAGAGTGTTTCAGAGGACTGATTTCCATGAATGATTTTTGGCAAAATATGCTCATTAAATGGAAGTTCGTGTTATTATGTGGGTTGGAGTGAAATGCTTAGATTGCAAAACTGCTAATCAGAAATACCAGCTAACAGCTTGCTCAGTGAGAAAATGCCATCAACGTGATTTGGTTACTGTTGCAATTTCAACCTTTCTAATCAGAATATAAAGTTTATGGAGAAATATGGAGTTTTCAACCTCAGGATATTGTTTTTATTTTTTGGAAATATGGTTCAAATTACTCATATGTACCTGGAAAATACTTAAGTGTTCTGGGAAGTAGATTCTGGTCAATAAGTTTGTATGCCATGGCCAATAACTGAGAAATGGCTGATATTATGCGTTTATTTTACTATTTTGTTTAAAGAAATAAAAAGTAAAACACAAAAACGAATATATATAAACTCTACAAGTGAATTTAAGATTTCACAATATTATAATGTACAGTGTAAAAATGGATATTCATTTTGAGATTTGTGAATGATTACATTTAACCAGAGGCGAACCAAGATGAAGTGGGGGGCCCAGGCAAAATTAATAGATGAGGCCCTTCTAAAAGATTATTTTGTTAATATATCTTTGTTACATATATATATATTTATTCAACATACAAAAAGTAACACATATAATAGAACATAAATTGTTAATTTTTTAAAACAAAGTGCTTATTATTTAACAAAATATCAATCTTCATCTTTATGGCAGAAGATACAACTGACAGCCTCTCTTGGTTCATTGTTGACCTGAGGTATGTCATTATCAGCTTTAATAGTTTTATTATTTGACAACTAATTATGTTAACTCAACTAATTTAATGTAGAAGAGCTAAAGAAATAATGTCAACTAAGTAAATGTAATGATATTTATTTATATTGATTTGTGGGCTCCCCACTGGCAGCAAGACACAGTACCCAGGGATGCAAACTAATCAGGGGTGACAAAGACGAGCACCCCCCTCAAAATAAAACCCTACATTTTTTTAAACTCTTATTATAATTTAAAGCCTTTATTATTATTTTTTTAACTCTGCCAAAACAAATTCATTTTAAATGTTCACTTTCATTCATGAAGGAGACAGGGGGGGAAAATTGTCTCCTGGTGGAAAACAAAGACTTAAGATGAAAATGACATGAAATTACCATTATATCCAGTAGATGGCAGCAGAGGATCACCCATTAGGTCAGTTGCCATATCAACTCCCTAGTTTTTTTCACGTCTTGCTTTTGGATTCATTATAAAATGATAATTAAATAATGCATTAAATATTTTGGCATTTTTTTAGATTTAATTTAAAATTTAAATTTTTCAAACATTGCCTAAAAAGGACACATCAAAGGTGAGCTTTAAGTTATCTTTATCTGTAGAAGCTGCTAAAGGCAACACAGACTACAGTTGCTGCTGTAGTTTTGTTTCTCTGAATTTACTCTGCATCACTTGAAGCACAGCTCTGGTTTGACATCGGCTTGTCAGATAGTTTGTTCCGTCCATTGCTACAGTTATCACCGTCAATCGCGGATCAATCTGGCGGATTCACTCACATAGTTTTTTACACTCGCGTTTGTCATTCCTGAAACAGTATACGTGGATGGTCCTCTTAAACTTTTATTCAAACTGTGAATGTAGTATGTAAGAGACACCGAGCAAAGGGCGCTTCCATTATGGCGCAACTGTCCGAGCTTACTCACGCGAAAACTCCTGATATAATCAATAACTAACTACACAATGAATATCTTACTTACATCGTGTATGCTTTCTTTTTGTCTTGTTATAATAGGAATATCTGTGAGCGTGTAGAACTACGTAAACTTGAGAAAACAAAAATTAGATCAGAGCAGAATTCTGATTAACCTATAGTAAACACCTCTGATTGGCCATTGCTTTCAACAGAGATGCCTGTGATTGGCTACAAAACTAAATGCTGCAAAACACGTTGTAATAGAAACGTTTGGTTTTGTAATTCGAAACCAGAGCGCGCACACAAAAACATACAGGATCGTTTGAAAGCGGGTGACTTCGAGCGGGTACAGAATTGAGTTGGTACAAATTTAAAAAACTCAGCAGATCTACACGAATCACACAAATGACCCATTTTGAATTCAAAACAGCGAATTTCACCGAAAGGTGACAAGTTTGCATCCCTGGTACCAAAACTTGCCAAGCGGTGACCCTGATG